ATTATTAATTAATTTAAATAATTTTTTATTTTATTTTATTTCAGTTCAATATTCGTCACGTGAAGATTTCAGTATAATAATTGGCGAAAAAGTGATCAATGAGTGGAAAGATTTTGAAGGAACGATGGGAGTAAATTTCCAATTAAATAATTTAATTCAAGGTCGAAGATATTTCTTCAGAGCAGCGAGTGGAAACTTGAAAGGGTTTGGGAATTTTAAATCATGCAATCCAACAAGCATTGTACCATCTTCGTGGCGAGACATCGCTGGTGATTCAGGAGAATATAAAAAGACTGCCGATCAGAAAGAAACTTTCGAGAGAATTTCCAACTTTTTGACTCTTTCAAAGAGAGAAAATCAAGACGATTCAGCTCCAAGACGAAATCATAAAAAGAAAACGACAATCAAACATTTATTCACTGCTACATCAAAGTTTCAGAAAACAATTAAACGAGGAATTCATTTGGCATGCATTTGTTACTTTGATGATAAAATTCTCGTGACGAATGAAGACTTCATTCCTGTCATAGAAATTGATGAAACTTATCCAAGCAATCTCAACAATGATTTTTACTGGTTGATGAAGGTAAAAACATTTTTAACAGTCACGCTATGGAATTTTTAATAATTTTAATTAATCTTTTTCAGATTTCAATGTCATGGGATTGTGTTAAAGATCTAAGAGACGACATGGAGAAAAACGCATTAACAAAAGTTCAATTTCGATGTAAAATGTTAAATGCGATTTATCAAATGCAAATGGCACTTGGAACGACTGACTTGGGAGAGTTTTATTATAAACCTTTGAAGGATTCTGATGGCACGATTATTCTAAGTTGTGTGTTGAATGCTAAGAAGACAACATCGACAATGAATTTACGATTCATTCCACTCATTAAATTGCAAAGAAAAATATCATGTGGCCTTGAAGATTCCAATTCAATTACCAATATAATTTTAAGTTCAATGGCAAGCCAAATCAACTATCACCAAGCTTCACGAACGAGACTTTCAAAAGGACTTTATTTAGGATATTTAAAAATGTTCAGTTCATTTGACACTATTCAGATTGTATGTCAGGCGAAAACTCCCAACGTACTTCCCAACTGCAAAATCAGAGACAATCCACATGTGTCTGCTGAAGAATGGTCAGCATTAATACCAAAAGAATCTCAAAAAACCAAATCATCACTTTTCGATTTAAACAGCAAAGGAACGAATTTAACACCAGCACAACAAATTTTTATTGACAGCTTAAAGCTTTCATTGAATCGTCTTTTCAAATTTATGAATATCTCACCTGAATCAGCTGTTCAACACAGACTTTACGATGTTGAAATCATTGAACTTGACTCTGATGTCACTTTTCTTCTTATCTGTGCTCCACTAGCAGAAAATTCAATTTTAACTCGAGGTATGACATTTAAATCATTTAATTATGATTACATAAAATTAACTTCAACAATTGTTTTGCTCTTTATTTTCTTCTCCAGATCTTCAAAGTGATCAACTAAACTTGTCATTGAAACGAAGTGACTTGCTTTGTCTTCCATTGATAGCACATGAAATGCTTCAATTTAATGTTTACCAACATGAAATTATTCGAAAATATGCGAGATTGTCGTTCTTGATAGAATTTGAAATAATTGTTGCTAATATGAAGCATCGTGAAGCGTTTTCAAATAATGAAATGGTTGTGGCGAAAGAAAGGCTGATAAAATTACAAGAAGTGATGAATGATTTGAATGTCGCATGGAAAAGTTATCGATGGATGATGAACGCAATAAACTTTTCACGAACGAAAGAACAGAAAAGTGGAATTGATTTGAAAACAATTCTCCAGTTCAGTCACTCAAGTTTGAACAACGAGAGAGTGAAGCCAATTACTCAACTTTTCCCAACGTATAAAAGTCCTATTCGTGGATCATGGTCGGGACCACAGAATTTCAGTGGTAAAGGATCAGACATTTTCATGTTTGGTGAGCATTCAAAGTCTGAACAAATTCTCAATAGCAATGACAAGCGATCATCAGCAATCATAATTCAAAGCAATTTAAAAAGAGACTCGGAATCAAATTATTTCTCGTCAAATGATAAAGGAATGTTTGTGATTCCACGATTGCCAACGTCAAAATCTGAAGATACTCTCGTTGTGACAAGAAAGAAAGGAACGACAAAAAATGTTCATCAGAGAAAACGTGCAACGACAATCAACACAAATTCTAGCGGTGAATCGTCAAATGATGGTCACAAGCCCAACGGTTTGATTGTTCATCGTGTCAACAACACGCAGTATGCTAATGAAATTCCATCAATTGATGTCCCACCAAATATTCAAGAAGAATCCACAACACCAAGTAAAAGTAAGCTTCGAGTGTCGCATCATCCGAAGAAGAAAGAAATGGAAAAGTGCAATTTTGAAGCTAACGAAGAATCAACTTTAGTGACGTTTCTGAAGCCAACATTAACAGCAATCCAAAATGAAGCTCAAAATAACAGTTTTAAAGATCCATTACTAATAGTCGAAGACGAAGCTATCGAAATGATCAGCTCTCCCTTTCGAAAAGCTCCGGTTGAACACCACAAATCATATTCAGGCAAACTTCAGTTCATCCGGAGCAATTTACACAGCCAAAATGTACAATCAATTTGCCAAGACACAGAAGTTGAATCAACTAATTGGCGAGCCTTCAATGTTTTTAAAAAAGTTGAAAACACAAATGAAACGTCAACTTTCACGTCCCAACAATCGGATTTCGAGATTGAAGAAAATTTAAGCGATCGTGAATATGTCAATCATGCAGCGATGCCTGAAAGTAATGGTTCGATTCTGCATGTTATCGCTGCGTATCAAACTGGTTTAGCTTCGGGAACTTCTCTCAAACTTAAATGTCAACAAAAAACGACAGCAAAAGAAGTCATCGAGTTGGTTGTTAAACAACTAAATATGGCGGTAATAATGAAAGGTAAAGAAGGTCCAATCTATGAAGCCGACAAGCTCGATGATTTTTGTTTAGTTGCTGTTATTGGCGCAAGAGAAAGATGTCTGCGACCTGACTTCAGACCACTTGAATTGCAAAATCCATGGAGAAAGGGAAAACTTTTTGTTCGCTTAAAGCACGATTTGTTAGCGGCAATTGAACATTCCAATCGCGAAACATTTTCCATTTAAAATGATAACCAATTGATTACTTATCTGTAATACTAATTATAAATGACTTTATTTTTATATTTTTATATCAAATAAACTAAATGTTGAAATCATAAAATAATGTTTCATTCTATTGTCTTCTTTGTACGATCAATACGTTTTCCATCGACTTCTTGAGGTCCCCAGCGACCTGACGGCCTCAATAATTCAATGAAAGTTGTCTTTCCCTGATGAATAGCAAGAAGATTTTTAGTTGTGTAAAAGACAAATGGAGTCAACGTTATCATTCCAAACATGTATCCAAGTAAATCAGACCACCAAGGAAACTCATAAGTACCAACCACTGTTGGCTTCAAATCAGTAAAAATGAAGACAAGAACAGCGAAAAGTGTCAAAGGTGTCAAAACCATCCAAACTGATCTCCAATAAGTTTTTGTTGCTTTCGAAATTTTCATTTCCATTTCGCGAATATTTTGGAAAGTTCTTTCAAATCCATAAACCCAGGACAAGATTACAATTTCAGCGAAACCGATGATGAAAATGTTCCAACTTGCAGTGTGCCACTCGATTAATGTTTCAAGGTAAATCCCACCACTGCATGTCATTGGAAGGGCTGCAATGAAACATCCAAGACAAGTGCCGGCAGTTACACGTTCCTGATGTTCTCTTAAGTGTGGCCAATGGTCGACGATCGATGAAGTTATCATTTGAACAAATCCAAACTGCGAACCTAAGCCGAGTATCAACATCATAAAGAAGAAGAGAAAAGCCCAGATTTGTGGCAATGGCATCAATAAAACAGCTTCAGGATAAGTGATGAATGTCAGCCCAGGTCCACTTGCAGTGACACTTTGGATCGGAACGTTCATGCTATTCGAAAGGAATCCGAGAATAGCAAACACTACGACGCCATTGTAAATTGCTGTTGCGAAATTAATTACCGACACAAACACAGCATCGAAGTGACAATTGTTCGTGAACTTTGTTTCAAAAAATTAAAGATAGAAATTAGGAATAAATTGAAATAATAAAACACAAACCTTGTTGTAGGAAGCAAGCACTATTAAAGCGCCCCAAGCAATTCCAAATGAAAAGAAAACTTGACTCGATGCATCACCCCAAACGCCAGGTTTCTTCAAAAGATCCCATTCGGGTGAAAGCAAATATCCGATTCCATCTGTTGCGCCTTCCAAAGTCAAGGCACGAATCAGTAAAGCAGTCAAAACGAAATAAGGGAAAGTTGCTGTGAAGTAGACAATTTTTCCAATTGATTTGACTCCTTTGAATAAGCAGAAGAATGCCAAAATCCATCCGAGGGCCATGCAAACGACGAGATGTGGTTGAGGCCAACCCCAATTTTCAGTCCATTTGGCATTTCCAAGCCCAAGAACATTTTCACTATGGAATTAAATTAATTAAATTCACTTCCTGAATTATATTCAAACTTTCAATTGATAATTACTAGAAGAATTCTTCAGCTGCAAGCGTTCTGTTGATGACTTTGTTGATTGGAATTGCGTGAGTTCCATTGAAGCAAGAAGTGAAGTTGAAAGCTTCCAAATTGTGCGCTTCACAAATACTTTCAACACTTTTGCATTCCTTTTGATAGAAAATTTCAGCTGAAGCATTTAGAAAGCTTTCCCCTCGACATTTGATATCTTGAAGCATGCTGTAACAATCTTGAATGTCACAAAGAATTATTTTTAAACCTTCAACATTTAATTTAACTAATTAAGAAACTAACTTTGCGAATTCCATTTGTTGTCGCAGTTTCCCCAAATTAAACTCGGGAAAAGAGAAGACCAAAGATAATAAAGAACCCATGAAATAATGACCATGTAATAAATCGAAACAAAAGTTGTTGTGAACAACACGCAATATCCGAGACCTTCATTAAGTGGTAGCATAAAAAGTTATCAAATTTGTAGATTAGAAATTAATTTTATTTAAGTTTTACCTTTGAATAAGGGAGAAATAAAGCTGAAAGCTTTTATTGGTCCCAATCCACTGTATTGACCGATAACTAATTCAGCATAGAAAAGCGGAAGTCCAATGACTAAAACCATCGCGAGGTAAGGAACCAGAAAGGCTCCGCCGCCATTTCGATAACACAAGTAAGGAAACCTCCAAACATTTCCAAGTCCAAGAGCGAAATTTACACACGCGAGTACAAATTCAATTGCATTTCCCCAATTCCCACGATCCACTAATTGAACAGTTGATGCTGTTGCAGTATTCAATGTCTCACTTATGGATGAATGAATTGAAGGAGAATCCACTTTTTTCGTATATTTTTCTTGCATTTGCATCATGATCTTGATACTGAAATATTCTTTATCAATCTATTTCAATAAATTTGCTCGTTTGTTTTGTTGAATTTTTATTAAATATTTATTCAACTCTCAATAACTGACACTGACATCAATAATCGTTGTCACTTCAAATCATATTGAACAATGAAATTTATTTTCTTTCCTGGAAGAAGGCAAAGACGCTAATAAATTAAAGAATCTTGTTTGTGTTCGACTGGTCTGTGTAATACAGATGAGATTTTCATTCTTCTATCACTCTTCATGTAATATAAACTCGTTTGTTTCGTCATTGTATTTTGCGATACTTCGTGAAGGAAAACAAAACAAAAAGCAAATTAAAGAAACGAGTTTATTGATGTGAAACCGAATATCGATATCTACCAATCACTCCACTTAAAAATTTCTTATGTATTAATAATCACACATCGTTTAAAGTTAACAATTCTACAAGTGAGATGAACGAGGAAAAGATTAACTTGACAGTGATAAGATTATTAAGTTTTTACCTAAAATCGATTCGAAATCTTTTTATTCAGGAAACTTCCAAATTTGTTAAATTCAGTTCACATTTAACAAGACCAGATAATGACACAAAATAATTAAGAAAATTTTTTATTTAACTTTCACTGCCTCAAAGCTCAAATGATCGTTTGTAAGAACATTAAGCTTTTTTACGGAGGCCCACCTTTGCAAAGGTGGTGAGGTCACCGTATTGTATTCGACATTTTTTTTTGGAAAATTTTTTTTGCTTAAATATGCTTAAAATAGCATGAAACGTCGAGAAAAGTGGAAAAAATGGACTTCCATTTTTCCGTCGCCTTTCAACCCTGTCTGTCTGTCTGTCTGTATGTCTGTATGTCTGTAACTTTTTTTTTGTTAACTTTTCTGAGAATTCTTATCAGGAATTTTTCTGAGAATTCTTATCAGGAATTTTTCTGAGAATTCTTTCTAGAGTATTTCCGAGAATTCTTTTGAATAGGACGATCGGTGCGCGTGTGGGAGAGTGAGTGGAAGACCAAGGACAGTCGGAAGGTCCATGGACAGTCGGAAGGGCCATGGATAG